AGTCCTGCCATTGAATTACAAGTGTGTGTGTGTGTCAAAGTGTGTGAAACATGTTCTAGACATGCTTCAAGCGTGTCTTTGCATACCTGAAGCATGTCTGAAACATTTTTCAGACGTCTGGGAATTACTCGGCAGCACGCTTCCTCTCCATCGCTCCACTTCCACAAGCCAGGCCCTCCTCCGACACGACGCGCTCCATCCGCGGCCCCAGAAACTTCCGACCCCTCCCCATAGGGGGCCACGTGCGAACCCTACCCCTACCCCCTACGACTTCTGAGGGGGAGGGTGGGGTTCACTTCGCTCGGGAGCTCCCGAAAGAAGTGAACCCCACCCTCCACCTCAGAAGTCGTGGGGGGTAGGGGTAGAGTTCGCACGTGGCCCCCGATCCCCAGGGTCGCTGGGCCCTCTGCGAGCAGTCGCCCGCGCGCCCGGCGGGTGAGGCCCCTCCCGGGCGAGACAGGCCGTCAGATGGGGCGCTGGCCGCGCGCCTGCGGCCGGACCTCCACCACCGTGATGCCGTCCGCGCGCAGCGGCTCACCCACGTCGCTGGGCAGCGGGCCGTCCGTGACCACCTGCGCCCCTGCGCCCACCCTCCCGCGGCCATCCCGCGTCGCTCGCACATCCTGCCATGCCCTCCTCCTCCTCCTCCTCCTCCTTCCATCCAGCTGCTCCTCCCGCCCCGTCCTCTTCCTCCTCCTCCTCCTCCTCCTCCTCCTCCTCCTCCTCGCACGTGGCCATGGCGGAACAATGCAATTTCAATGACGCCTCTGTGCACGTCGCAGCTGCCACCTCCCAGTGGGGATGGCTGCTCGAGCCCTTCCAGGGCGGGTAATAGCACGGCTTTGGATGCCTCGAAGTTCTGGGTGAAGCAGCGTGACAGCTGCGGGCACAATGAGCGATTCAGGAAATTGGGATCGGAGACCAAGGCGGGAGATAGGGCCAGCGCACAACGGAGGACACCAGAACTCAACAAGGACGGCAGAGAGCAGCTCAAGAAAGACAGGGCAAGACCAACTGTGAGCGAGAGTCCTCTGGGCCATGGCACCACGTGCACGGCCAAACCTGCTGAAACCGACGGGCTGTAGCCCACCTTCCTAGAAGGAGGCGTAGCACATTGAACGCTGGCACCGCTGGCATCTGAAGAAGAAGCGACGCTCGGACATCGCCCCACGGGGGATGCAGAGCTTGCACGAGTGACAGTGGGAGCCAACTCGAGAGGCGCGCAGCAGATGTGATATTCAACGTATCTTGATCCAGTACTTCGTTGCTGTCACTCCAGGGAGTGCCTTGCACACGGACACCGCGGGCGCGGCCAGGATCGTCGATGAGGGACTGGAGATGGGCACGAGCAGTGCAGCAACAATGCGGGCGCGAATGACACATGTGGAGGTGGCGAGCTGGCAGCCGATCTGTCCGGGGAAACCCTCCACAGCAGCCTGCAGGAATGCGGCGCAGGGTGGCTGGAGCCAAACACGCGGAGCCAATCTTGAGAGGGCGATCCCAGATCACGGGGGAATCATTAATATCAAACCCAAGAACCGTCAGAACCGACGACGTGGACTCACCAGGAAAAAATGAAGGGGAGGGTCGCAAAACTGACGGAAACACCTCCCTCACCACTAAGAGAGGGTCACAAAAAACTGACGACCGCCACCTGGGGAACTGCGGGGATATTGCAGCGAAGAGGAGGGGTTGGGAATTCTGACGACGGCGCGGCCGCCCGACCCGTTAGTCCCCTTTGCCGAAAGTGAACCGACGACGGCGCGGCCAGAAAACCCCTAAGTCGCTTTCTATTGGAGTCGCGCTAGTGATGATCCCAGGAGGGGGCAGGAACGCGTCGGCAGCAGCACTCAAGATGGGGACCTCCGAACATCGAAGATTTGGGTCGCCGGTCTCACCGTGGCCGAAACACTCTGGGCATCCAGACGGGGTGCTTCTGCCCTCTCGGGAACGACCAGAAATGCGCGTGAAAAAAAGCGGGCAGCAGGACGAATTCCTCGTGTGCAGGGAGGGGAAGACATTGAGAAAATTAGAAGAGGACAGCTGAGACGCGAGAGGGGTGGAGGTAGGGGACCGCGCTCGGCGGGGCGCCAGAACTCGCGAGAAAGAGCCCGGACGCGCCATGCTGCAATCGGTGAGCGCCAACTGTGGTCAAGAGCAGCGGGGCCGATGCACATTCCGAGATACTTCTGCGCTGCGTCGATGGAGATGTCGCACCCATCAGGGACGAGTTGAGCGATCCTGCCAGCGTAGGCCGGCTTCAGAGAGTTGCCAGATGAACCGCTCAAAGGCTCAAAGGGACTGGCGCGAACGTTCTGAGCTTGAGCTGGAGGGCAGAGACGCGCCTGTCCACTTGGAATATGCGATGCGCGATGCTGAGGTGTTCGATGCGACGGAAGGCGGCGCCGCTGTCATCCGCGCGCGCGGGCAACTCCTCAATCTCTCTCGCGCGCGCGCGGACCGAAATCACCCCCATCAAGGAGAGGCATGGTTGCGAGAGCGTCACGTTGCATCGAGTAGAGGCGGCTGCGCGAATCCACTTCAACGACACCGTTGCCGAAGTTCCGGGATCTCGCGAACCCGCTCTGGACATGATTCACAACTTGATAAGGTACGTGGTCAAGTCGACGGAACGCGACGCCAATGGCGGTCGTGCTGTCCGCATTTTTGAAGCCTGGGGGGCGCGGGTCGGAAACGCGGCGGGGGCATCTCTGAGGGGCGTCTGCGGGCTCTTCCCCTTTTGGCGCGAATGCTCCCGAGAGGGCATTGCGCCCCAGGAGCATGGGCCCCCCCCCCAGCGGAAACCGCGCGACATCAAAGAGCACCTGAGCTCCCGCGTCAGAGACCTGCCAGATTACCGCGGGGGAGAGCGCTGGGCACTGATCCCGCGCGCTTCTGTTTTTGGAGGCGCCCGTGGGCGTCGCGGCGCGCGGGGGGCGGGATGTAAATCAGATCTGCGGCGTGCTCAAAGTTGGGGGCGCACCGATCTGCAGCGCGCTCGCCAACCCGCCTCGGGGCAAAGGCCCGCGAGCCGAACGTTCCAGTCGACGCGCGCCCAGAGCCTGCTGTGCTCCGCGAGCAGGCGGAGTCGCTTGCGCACCTTGGCCTGCGCTGGCAGGCCAGCGCGCTGCGACATCTCCCGGGCCCGCTGCTGCTCTTCTCGATCGGCGTCGGCGACTCGGGGGCGTCTGAGTAACAGGCGCAAAGAACAAGACTCGGGTCGGGCGAAAGGGGGGGATAGCAAAGGGGGGGGGTGAGAATCAGCTCACGTAGCTGATTTTCCCCGCGCCTCCCGGCGCCAAAGGCGGCCATGTATCGAGGAATGGGCCCCTCGGTGAGGCCGAAACCAGCTGCATGCAGCAAATTTCGTAACCCCCCCTTTCCCAATCCCCCCCTTTCGTCCGGCCCGAAAGACGCACAGGGCAGATTATCCTCGTCGCGCTCCTGCCAGTAGATCACCTGGGCAATCCGCCGCCGCGCCGCCGGGCGCGGCGCGGGCGCGCCCGCGGGCCCTCAGCCTGAGCCTCGATCCTCAGTCCCGTGGGCGCAGGGGGGCCCGGGCGCCAGATGCCAAAAGCCACCGGGGCTCGTCGCGCGCCCTCTGGCCCCCCCCCCCCGCCCGCGGCCTCCCGCGCGAATATTTTCTCCGGCCCAAGAGGGCCGCGAGAGGCCCCGAAGGCGGTCCGCGGGGGCCGCGGCGCGCCCAGAGATCGGCCCGAGACGCGCAGGATGGCCCCCAGACTGGCCAGGGGCCTTCCAAGAGGCCTCGCGAGAAGGCCCCGCGAGGCAAAGGTCATACCTTCAACTTTGGAACGTCTAGACGGCCCTAGAGGCCGCGAAGATCGCCCCGAGACGGCCCAGAGGACGGCCCCGAAACGGCCCACGAGGGCCCAGAGACGGTCCGAGAGGCGTTCAAGACGGCCCAAGAAGCCTCAACGACAAGTTCAAAAAGGTGGGCCGATGGGGCGCCCCCAAAAGGCCTCGAGAGGCCCCCAAGAAGCGCCCAAGAAGCCCGACGGACCCCCAGGAAGCCCCCCAAAGGCCCTCGAGAGGCCCTCAAACAGCCCCCCACAAGCCCCCGAGAGCGCTCCGAAGAGACCCCAGGAAGCATCCCTGAGAACTCTGGCCCACGCCCAGGAGCGGTGTCGGGGTGGGCCGAGGACCGGCAGAGGCCATCAGATATGTCCTCTGGCTAGGGCGCGTCGGTGAAGACGATCAGCTCGATCATGATATTGTCGACCGAAGGGGGGCCGGCTTGGTCGCGTTCGAATATTCGGCTCGTTCGCGAGCGCCGCATGTCCTGCAGACCTCGCCCCGCCCCTCGCGACCCCCCTGACAAGACGCAGATGGACCGGCGGGGCGCGGAGGGGCAGGTCGAGCTCCTCCTCCTCCTCCTCCTCCTCCTCCTCCTCCTCCTCCTCCCTCCTCCTCCTCCTCCTCTCTCCTCCTCCTCGCCTCCTCCTCCTCCTCCTCCCTCTCCTCCTCCTCCTCCTCCTCCTCCTCCTCCTCCTCCTCCTCCTCCTCCTCCTCCATCTGGAAGTCAGGGTGCTTGACGACGGCCCTGGGAACCGGCCGTGAAACAGACTGCCGAGGAGCGCGGTTGTCGCAGAAAGACTTGGAGCGGGGGGCGGTCGGAGACGCCCTGCTGCTCCGACGACTCCGGCGTGGCGGGCCACGCCGGATACCTGCATTTGGGTGAGAAGCCAACTCGGCGCAGCTAGAAAAGCCCTGGCAATGTGAGAGGTACTCTGGCGATGTCCACTGCGCTGAAGTATGCTCGTCGGACGAGATTTCCAGGAGCTGCCGGAGCAGGCGCTGCCGGGGGGGATGGCCGACGACGTCGCCATTGGGCAAGGGCCCTGGGGGCATCTGGGTTGGAAGGGGGAACCGCTGGACAGAGGGCTTTTCTGCTAGGTTGATGTCGCCAGCCAAGTCCACGTAGTACCGATCGGGATATAGGTTCGATATGTCAAAATGATGCTGCGCGTGTGTGTGTGTGTGTGTGTGTATGTGCGTGTGTGTGTGTGTGTGTGTGTGTGTGTGTGTGTGTGTGTGTGTGTGTGTGTGTGTGTGTGTGTGTGCGTTCTGCTGCGTGGGTTTTGGCTGAGTGTAAACCGTGGGCGGGTGTGCATATACAGTGCATGATGTACGCGTGATCTGCGGAGTTCGGGCAAGCGCCTACAAGGAATGCAATGAAAAAACTCGAACTGGAATGAGATCCGCTGAACTCACTGCGGCACCTGCACCAGTCCACATAGGCTGGTCGGGGAAGCACGTGGCAACCTCTTCTTTCCTCGTTTCTGTCCTCGGGGAACAGCGGTCAAACCTCGAAACCAGATCTAGACAGACGAAGAAAGTCGATGCCGTCATCCAAACTCCCATGAGACTCCTGAGCCGCCACGACACTGAATCCCTGGAGCATGCTGCGAAGATGCCTTCATTCTCTGGTTCGCGTCTCTGGGTGGCGATGAACAAGAGCACGGGCGTTCCAGGTCGCCAAACTGAACCCAGAAGCCGTCGAAACGGCCTGCTTGCCTGAGAGCTTCGGTAGGGCGCGCGGCGGGTTCAAGAC